CCGGAGAAACGCCTGTGAAAAGATGACCGTTCCGGGCGATCTCTTCAGGAAGCGCTCAGATTCGATGATTTGACTATATCGCCGGTGGAGCATCGATTCGGCCGTTTAAACGAATCCCGGGATCTTAAAAACCTCGAGTTCTCCAATCCATTTCAGGCGCTTTCAGTCCGCTTTATCCCTCCTCGGAAGATGAATCGTCCCGTTGGGCATTCTGCGGACAGGATGCAGACGTCACTGATGTCTAAGTGCATGAAAGAAAACGACTCAGTGTGGACGGCGGCGTGTCTCCGCCGCCGGACCAGGCCGTGCTCTTTGTCAACCGAAGGGTGGACAGCTTCTCACCCGGCCGGTTTCAACTGCGGAAATGACTAAGAACGAAATTCAATTTGGCCGGGGAGACGCGGCGCGACGCGACGACGTTGAAGACAAGTCTGAAGAGGGGCGGTTAACCGGAAACCGTACCTCGGTCGATGTTCTTAACGAGAAAATCCAGAATGTGCCGTGAGAAACTCTCTCTCCCGAGCTCACGTAATCGGATCGCAGTGAATAATGGGAGACGGCAAGGCCTACGGTAAGTGATCCTTCAATAGTTTAAACGAGAACGGACTTCTCGTGCGAAAGGATCGAGAGCGAAACTCCAGAGACGCGCGCTCGAATCGTTCGGGAAACTTTTCGGAACTTCAAAGATCGCGCGACCCGCCGTTAATAATATTTAGGGGACACCGGCTCGTAAATTTTGCGCCCGAGACGCGAGGATGACGCTCTTGCGACACTTTGCGCGAGATCGGCGAAATTTGAGAATAACGTTGGGTTGCGCTCGCGAGCTCGCGTGCACGCGAGTGTTTGAAAATCCCTTTTGACGAATCAAGGAGTGAGAAAGGCATCGGCGGATGCTAATGCACAATTTACACGTTGAGCAGTCGGGCAATCAACTTTGCAGTCACACGTCACCATCAAGCATGCTAAAAGGGTTGTCAGGTAATTCCGAGCGACCGATGTCGAAGGGTTTGCGCTCTAACGAGTTGCGAACGCAATGGCAAAATCGCATTCGCGTCTCTTGTAATAATCAGCGACGCCGAATTGCACTTCTCGTGCGCGCCCGTTGCCTTTCGTACTTTTGCCAAAGCGAAAATAGAATAAGGAGAAAAAAGGGGGCGAGGGAGCCGAGATTCGGTTTGCCGCGCGGATAGAAACGAGGATCCACAAAGACCGTCCGGTACGAACCGGCCAGCATTTCGAAAGGAAACTTGTTTAGCGAGCTCACTTCATCTCTTTCGCTTGTAATTATAGGAACTGTTTCGCGATATGGAAATTACGGGATCACCGTGATGCGTGTGAGGCCAATTGCAGTATATTAGCGAAAACGACTCACATATTAAATCTGAAAATCCACCGAGCTCGAGGAGTGAAAGGAATCATATTCAATTACTCGTGAATTAAGTAATCGATATGGCAACGTTCGGAAAAGTCACGCGCAACGAACGCATCGAAATTTACCTTCCATTACCTTCCTTTGAAATGTCAGACTTTCGTGAATTATCCACTCGAGCGTGTATAATTATTAGAGAATTGGAAAATAATGGACCAGAGATCCGAGAATACTCATCGTATAAAACGCAAACTTGAAGAGATTCTGAAACTTCACACGTATCAGGGATTCTAGTCTTATTTATTGGCAGGTTTATTTATTATAGTACGTACCGACAGATCGAATTCGCATGTAATACGAGAAATTGTGGCGTCAAGCTGTAAAAAATTAATTTCTCGTCCGCGACACTATAGTGCACGTGCACCTTTTTATTGGATTTGGTTTGTCGCAAGTCGCCATTGAGTGTTGTCACGACGACGGATAGTTTTCAACTTCGATCGCCCCTGGCGTCTGTCGAACAGGTACAAACATTAATGAAGTTATCCTCTGTAACTTTCTTAATAAGAAATTATTGAGCCTGTGTTGGTTCCCGGTTAGTTACGCTAGAAAACGTTGTCATCTTTTTAACCGCGCCGTGTAACTCAGATGGCAGTTCTTGGGAGAATTCTGAACAATCGATTCAATAAGGCAGCGTAATATTCTTTATTATCGTAATATTTCACGGAGAGTTTTAATTTTTTAAGAATTCGCTTGAAACCTGCACTATATATTGATTTAAATGTGACCTAATTGTTGATGCGATTAGAAAAAAATTGGCCGTTCGGAAACTGAGATATTTGCGACTAAAGATAACGCTTTTTATATGTATTCCTTGAGGTTAATATTCCATTTTTAATATCTATTTTTTATTTCCTTGAAACTAAATTTAGGATTTTAACGAAAAATTACTGTGATATTAACTCTTTAAGGCCCAATGTACATAATAACGTACATTAACTTCGGTCCTTCCCCAAATTTCATTTGTTGATAATGGTTTCGTCGATATAATATTATCCCGCCTAAATGAAGTTATATTCTCCATCCTAACCTGTGAAATAATGTCTTTCCAGATGAAAACTAATATATGCAATCATAACAATCAATGTAGAGCAAAGTCGTCGACGCTCGAATTTATATAAAATTATTTGTGAGATAACGTAAATATATTCTATTTACGAAAATAAGATGCGCGAGAGTGAAATATTCGCGCAGTCTAAAATCTCCAAAAATCACAACAGAGAGCAAATCTCAATGTATTCGTCGCGTACTTGTTTCTGCGAATGTTGTCGCGCCAATTACTTAAGGCGACAAATCTAACTGATTCTCATTTAGACGACGTAAAAGGGACAGCTAATTAAATACATTCAACGAAACAAAGAGAGAGAGAGAGAGAGAGAGAAAGGAAGAGAAGGCGGTGTAGAAAATAGTGCAAAAAAACGCGGAGCCATCTGATAAAAAACTTAATAAACGTCAACACGGCCAAGTACGGACGTTGGAATTGTTTCTTCATGCATCGGAGAATTATTTCGAGGTAAGATAGATTAAGCTTCTATTTAGAAAATGTCTTCTTTAGCTGCGTCTCTCGTCCTTCTCGTCTTTCTCGAGAATTTCTTCGCGGACCTTTGAATTTTCCATTCTTCGGCTCCTCCTCGATCTTAGAGTTTTCAACTTCTTGATACGTGAAATCTCCCGACCGTTGTATTTTTATTTATCCCGGACCCAAGGATTTCCGCCGTGGTGTCCGTTTTGAATTCTTGTAAAGTTGCGGAGAGACATCTTCTCTCGAGCGCAGTTACTCCCAAGTGTTCCCCATTGCCGATGCGTCGTCGTTAGCGGGAAGTATAGTTACTTAGGGTCAGCCCTCTTGTACTCGTTTCGAAATCTAATTAATCCGACATCGTATTCAGTAACCACCTCCCGGGTAGCACAATGTATTCTAACTGCCAAGTAGCTGGCATTGTCTTGGAAACAATGGCTGCCAGTGGAAATAGACGAACCGACCTTGTCCCACAGGCAGCCAGCCGGTGGAAATTTATTAATTGGTAGACGCGAGAAAGACAAAATTATGTACCTATGCATTCGCATCACCTCCGGTGCTATCCCAGGCATAATAATGAGGTTGCCGTTTGGGTTCGTGCTTAATCGCTGATTATCACTGCGATAATTATATACGTGCGTGCCGTAGATAATCACGAGCTGGGAATTATCCCTCTCATCGACGTCCGCCTGATTATAAACTTATGAAATTTAACTATGAAAGCTCAAGGCGCCACGATCCTAATTTACCCTAACGTCAATTTGATTCCTCGCATAATCGTCAATCTAGTGAATATCGCGAACGCATAGCTTTATATGCGAATACACGATTAATCAGATTTCGTCGTTCATCTTATATTGTTATATCGTGCAGTATCTCCAAATTCGAGATACTTATTTCCAAATAGAAGCGACAATTTGTGTTACTCGCTAATAGTAGATACTTTTTCCGGTATATCAGCATGAAATACGATATACGCGAAGAAAAGAAGGAAAAGCGGAACGTTTAGAGGTTATCGTCATTGAACTCATGGTACTTCCGTTTAGAAGATACAAGGCTTCTCGTACGTGTATACTTACGTATACATACGGATAAAAAACGACCGCTTTGAACGACATTATTCGTCGTTCGTGATGACATTTTCTCCCGATGAATAGAAAACAGCATGCTCGTTGTACATTATTCATACTCGATTTCAAAGCGGCCACATTTGGCTAAATCGCGTGATAAATTTCCCGAGCGCGAAAGTAACCCGCCATCCGACTTCTGATGAAATCAGTTCCCACCGAAAGTTCCGTTCCCGAGGAAATCCAGCTCGAGTGGCTGGAGAAACGAGGATCCTACAAAGGTAGAATCCGGCTTTTGTCTCCCTCCGTTACTTCTGATAGTATATTATTCCGACAATGAGTCACGTGGCGCTACACACCTGTCATGGAGACTGTGCGACGCGCCGAGGATTCCCCATTCGTCGTGCGCGGTGGATGACTGTGTGTTACGCGCTGTCACATAAGGTAGGGGACGGCACTGGCAGCTAAACGCTAACTTGGCGATACAGTCTCTAACTCCAAGGACACGAGCGAGTTATCGTTGTCATATTGCACGTGTCTTGCAATGCAGCCCGACGAGTTGATGGGCCTTTCCCACGCAAATTATGTACACCAGATCTAAACTCCGTGATATGTTCAACAGTTCGGAATAATGAGGTACTTCGCCGATATATGTGAGGCCAACTTTTAATCACGGCATACATGTCAAAGCGATGTTTTCTATCATACTTCCCGATACTTCAAGACACACGTACCGCCAGCACTGCAACAGTGATATTAAGAAACGTTTTTCCCAACTCCATTTTAAAATCATTCATATGATTTTATCTGTTATTTATTACATATTAGTTACATGTATATATATGTATATATGTATGTAAAACTAATATATAAAACATATAAAAAATATATATATTAATACATACATATAAGTATATGCATAAATTAATTCATTATTATAATATATTAGTTATTTTAATGTATCAATTAATTACATTTTTTACTCAACCAAAAGCTCACAGGAAAAGAAAATAACCTATGCATATTAATTTGTAGCTAGTACACGGAGCGGGGAATTCTTTTCGCACGTCAGCCACGAGATAACTCTCGTGTTTGTCAATCAACGCATGTTAATATTATCGCAAACATAATAATGTGCCGTTTGTCTGCTGACGTTTTCCGCCCGAGGAGGCCCCAATTTCGTCAAAAGCCGTGAAATGAAAATTCCATAAACCATCAAAACACTCGTCCCATCTTTCTTCGCTTCTTGGTTCCTGATCAGGGCGACCCTGCCGATCGGATCGACTAACGTAGAACGAGATGAAATGAAAACACAAGGGAAAGGGGAGCGAGAGAGACGAAGGGAAGGATATAGCGACAGACTGATTGGAACGTGAGAGAGAAGGGGGGCCAGTGTAAAAATGGCTTTTTCCTTTCCGCGTGGCAGCGGTTAGAGACGAAGGGAATCCCATTACCGCGCGAACTTTGAAAATCAATTCGATCCGCAGGTAATATAAGTGAGAACTCGCCGACCACTTTGTCCCGATTCCCCTTGCCGTTCGTGCACTGCACCTGTACGACTTATAGACCCCGCTTCACTTAATAATAAAGTTTACGGAACGCGTGTAAAGTCGCGGGATACAAGATACGAGCGTTTGCATGCAAGAAGAGGCGGGTAGGTGGAGCGGAGGAAAAGGAAGAGGAAGAATATGATGAATTGTGGGTGGGATTTTTTATTCTGGATTCTCTGCTGGAAAAGTATGAAAAACATTTATTCTTATCTTCGTATAAAGATACACGCGTAAAAAAAGCGCAGGCGCCGTGAGAAATTATCGACTTCTATTCGATAACGTTAAACTGGTCGTGCTTACTCGATCTAAAATCGTACGAGCAATCGACGACGTTCACGAGAGCGTTCTTAACGGTCCACAAACGTGATGTAACATGATTTGCCCTGCGGCCTTGATTTGACCGCAACGAGGTTGTTTACTATTTAACATGTCTTAGACACTGACAATTATTGTTATTTACATAATGTATAGCTACATTGTACTTGTATAGTCTTAATTAGTCGTGGAAAAATATAGTGTAATGTGTAGTTGTGATAAAAATGACGACAGAAGTACCATATACGGTCACATAAAGTCGTTAAAATGCAATTTAAAGCATGCTATTGTAACGTACATCTAAGAAACAGTAATAAATAACGTTAACTCTATAGAGAAAGTAATTCTATCCTTTGGCGGATTCTATGGTATCTGAATAAGAGGAAATTTACATAGAGAGAGAAACGTTCAAATGTTAACGAAGGATTTTCGACTGTCGGTGCACTATTGCGATTTTGAGCTTTCCTCGTGAAGAAAATTCACAGTAGGTATTCTCAAAGTGTTCAAATCGGTTTCGTAACATCTCTTTGTTATAGCTCCGAATGAGACGGATACTATCAAAATGTTACTATAAAATCTCTCATCTAGATAAAAGGAGATTTACGTAGAGAGAGAGAGAGAGAGAGAGGGGAACGTTTATCGTTAAAATTTTAACGAAGGATTTTCGACTGTCTGCGCACGATTGCGAGTTAAAGCTTTCACGAGTTTTTCTCTCATAAAGAATAACAGTTTTCACACAAAGACAAAGATCTCTTTGGATTTAATAAAATTTTTTCGATTAAAACAAATTTTTCTTTGGAATGGAGCAAACAAACGAGTGTTTGGTCGAACAAATAAGATTGTTGTTTGGCTTCTCAAACAATAAATATCTTTCCATCAAATACATATTTCTTTCGTAATTTCATCGAAACATTATAATGATTGCCACATGAATTATTTGGAAAAAAGAAGCAGCACTATACTATATTAGAAAAATATTAAAGACCTTTTTATTTCAGCGAGACAACATTTAATATACAGCGAAAAAAATTTTGTTTTACTGAAAACCAACCCCAAACAAACCCAAGTCAAACAAGCACGTGTACTAAATTCAAAGAAATTTTTCTCCGTCCGGTATTCTCAGAACGTCCAAATTGGTTCCGTAAAATCTCTTTGTCATAACTCCGAATATGAGACAGGCTGTCGAAATGTTGCTACAAAATCTCCCGTATGCTATTAACATAAATAATGATACTGCAATTATTATATATATACACCTCCTCCGCTGTGCTGCTTCCCACGTGTACAAAAATACTTCGAGACGCGCCGCACAGCGCCGCAATCCGCGATCTGTGGAAATGATATTTCATTAATTGGTAACCATGTAACGAGCAGCCGTAGTTTCCCAGAATTCGACGGAAGGCTATCGATTTCGCGAAGCAGCACCACGCGAGACTCGCATCAACGCTTGGCCGTCGTTCCGACGGATAGAGAGAGAGCGAGAGAGAGGGAGGAAAGAGAGACGACACCGAGCATCTCTCCAGCCATGTATATTCGCAAAACAGGGATGAAACGTAACATGTGGCCGGGCCAATTATTTCTTGCTCGACGGCTTGCGTTTGATCGTGCCGGTATTCGAGTTGCTGGAATTCCCGTTGCTAGCGGACGAGGAATCCGTGCTGGCAGACTTCTCGCTCTTCGACATCATCGTCGTCGTCGTCGGCGTCGGTATGCCCGACTTGGCATCGGATGTCGATGGCGTGTTCGTGATTTTACTGGGCGCCGCCTCCACTCTCTGCACGATTTCCGTCTTCTCCACGTACGATGGCTTTTCGATCCCGGACTCCTCCTTCCTGCGTGAAAACGACGGGATCCTCGTAACCCTCGGCTTCTCCCTCAGGAGCGGCTTCTCCCTCAGCTCGAGCGCTCGGTCCCGCTCGGTGTTCTGGCAATTCTGCTGTTCCGGCGATGGTATGGCTGACACCTTCGGTATATTCCTCTGATCCCTGTTCCTCGGCAGACTCGCCGTCGGCTTTATGATGATCTTCGGCTGCTTCAGACTGCTCGCCGGGGCGCAGTTCTTCGGCTCCCGAGCCGTGATGATTATCCGCGGTTCCCTCCTCTCCGTTTCCCTGGCCGAATTGTCCAAGCCCTCCGAGGATCCCCCGTCTCGTCGTGGCTCGGCGGACGTCTTCGTCTCGTGATCGATCTTGTCTTCGGAGCGCGCTGAGAGACCCGGCTTCTGATTGGCCTGGCACAAATTAAGCACCCTCGGCGTGATCACGATCTTCGGCTCCGAAGTGGCCGTCGCCATCTCCCCGATTGCCGGGTCGCTCGGCTTGTACCAGTTGGGATTGCCGGCCTCGAAAAACCCACCCGGTTTGCCGATACCTTCGTCGACGCTCTGCGAAGTCGGCGGCAAGGGGTACTGACCTCCGTGAAGCGGACACTTGGGGTTGGCGTAAATGGTGTCCACGCTCCCGCCGGCTTGGACAGCCCTGCTGCCTTCCAGGGAATCTATGATGCTCGGGTCGGAATTGTTCTTGACGGAGTCTTGTTTCCTCAACAAGGGCCCCACGTGCAGGTTCGTCGTGATCGGCTCGCCCTCGCACTGGCTCTCGCACTCTTCGGCGAAGAAGCTGCTTCTCTCCAGGCTCTTGGACGGTCCGAATATCCGCGGAGGTGGCAATGGCGGTTGACTCGAGGACAAATTCGCTCGGTGCCCGTTCTTGCAGTCCCTCAATAAGGTCCCATGCTGCTTCGGCACGAAGAGACTGCTCGGCGCCGGCAGTGATCGCCTCTTCTCGATGTCCGGCAACACCTTCGGGTAGTTCCGACGTTTGATTGTCTTCAGAGCCTCTTCCGGGCTGATGCACTCTCTCTCGATAGTCGGCTCGCGACACGTGACATTCACGTCGCCCGTCCCGAAGGTCGTTAGAACCGCGCCGGTCTTCATGTAGATCTCCTCGTCGAGAGGATTCTCGTATTTCGGTTCTCCCGACAACGGCGCCTCCGTGTTTGCCCCTAGGCCACCGGGACGAGGCAGACGAGATTTCAGCTTCGGGTTGATCTTGGCGTACAGACTGCTCGCGCTTCCCGAGTCCGACTCGTAGATTCTGGGAGTGGAGAAGTTCGGCCTTACCGTCTTCAGGACGCTCTCCATGGGCAGCGGGTCGCTCCTTGAATGATGGTGCTCGATGACGACCACTTGGGGAGCCATCAGCTCCTCCTGGTTGAAGGTCTGTTCATATTCGATCGGTGCTTCGATGCTCTTCGTCAGCTCGATGGGCACTTGGTTCAAAACGGACTCCGTCCTGGTCGCCGGCGTGGCGTCGATGGCCACGGAGACCTTCGGCAGCTTTGATTTTTTTCCAGGTCGCACCACCAGCGCCGGACTCTCGTCGTAGATCGGCTCGTCCTTCCTTTCTTTCAGCGCTTCTTGCTCCATGCGTTGCCTCTCTTCTTGCTGCTGCTTACTCAGCTTCTCCTGATGCTCCTTCTGCAACGTTTCCCGCGTCTTGCGCAGAAACCTCGGCGAGCATCTGTACGGACAGAGAGATTGAAGAATAAGATCCTGATTGATTTGACGGATGTCTCTCGAGAGAACCTTACGTGACAGCATTTTGCGCGAAAGTGCGCTCTTTAATATCGTAATATATGTTACGATACTACTGTGAGCAAAATTGTGAGCGAAATTCGGAAATGGATGTTGTTAATACCGCCAATAATTATAATGACCGGTCGGTTTGCTATTTTACGCATTTCGTAAATGAAAGATGTATATTAATTTCGCGACTCAATAACGATCGGTGATAATGGAAGTTGCACTTTACCGCGCTCACCGTTCCGCGGGGCTAATTAATCACTTTGAGTCCCACACGCCTTGCACCGACGAGGAAAAAAGATAGGATTATGTCAAATGCTTTTGTTTAATGGGTACATTCACCTATTTATACATATATATGTAATATATATATATTTAATATATTACATATATATTACAAATATATTACATATATATATATATATATTACATATACACACATATGTTAATATATAATATGTTTATAATTAAACAAACTTGCGTGATTGATGCAGTTTAACACGTTGTACTTACATAAAGAGACCGGCAAATAATGCATGTTACAATGCATAGTTATATTGCAATGCAATCAAAAAGTGAATATAAGCCGTTTAATAATTTAGAGAGGAAGCTTTTTCACCGAGATTTTAAGATAATTAGAATCGCATGCGTTATCAAAAAAGGGGGACAAAATATAATACACCGTTCGTACAGGCAACAAATTTCGTGATAAGCATTTATTATTGCACAAACGCGTGAAATTTGTTTTGAATTATATTTTTTCAGATTAATATATTTTTCCTCTCACCAGCGTGGTAATATGCAGTATCAATTTTATCACCAATGACAGACATATTTTTCGCTAAACGACAAGAAGCGAAGTCGCGCTCTAACGAGTTCAATTAATTTCGCGGGGCGGCTCTTACCCACCTCTTCTGTGAGTCAATACACCTAGCGAAATATTCGAGGGCGAAAGAGAAAAAGGGAACTCAATTCTCTGATTTGAGTGATACGGGCCACATCTCAAAGCAACCACTCTTTAAGCGGAACCCCTAATTGGATTACTGGGTCGCCCAACCCTCGCTGCGATCGACGAATTTGCCAGAGTAAGCGTTCTCCGAGTATCTTCAGCTCTTCGCAATTAGGAGAGACGTAGGAATAAAATTCGAAACGTTGACTGGCATGATGGTGCACAATAGAATAGCGTCAGAGAATAAGGAAGGACTTGATAAGGACATCCGCGAATCGTGACCGAGCTATTTATTTCGTCCGAAACACAAGATGTGTTTTGGGCCGCTCGGTTCAGAAGCTTAAAGTAGTTGTACCGCGAAGTGAGTCTTTTAAGAATTCGTTGAAGCTCTCACTATGTGTAGATTTAAATATGATCTAATTATTGGCGCAATTAAAAATAGATTGACCGTTCGGAAGTTAAGATGTTCGCAATTAAAAATGATACTTTCTATACGTATTTCTTGAGGTTAATGTCTTATTTTTAACTCCTACTTTTAATTTCCTTTATAAATGTATAATAAATGTATAGGAACGTAATTTCACTTGACAAATATTAAATTTGCGAGTGGCCTCCTTGATGTGCCACTGAAAATACAATACCCTGCGGTACAACAGCCTCAATCGTCGAAATGACACCTTTCGCACGTGTTTTTATTTTTTTGTTTTTATCCCCCGAAAAAGAATCTCGAAACGTGCGTATCTTCAAATAATTAACGGCCTAATGAAGAAATCAAAAGCTGGAGCTGATCAAAATCGTGGATCAAAAAGTGCGACGATTCCAAACAAATAAATGAAGCATGTCGTGTTTCGATTTGCATTATCGACACACAGTTTTGCAATATTTACTCGAATTTAATGAATTATAAATAATTTAATTCAGCAGGAAAATGCGCGCGGGAATCGGAGCCCGGGCGCGAGAATATCGCGCTCGCAGATATATTTCGCATTAGCGTCGGAATATTCCAGGTCAACAGGGACGTTAAAGTTAACTTATTGCGTTGAATACTCTCCAGAATTTTACTGACCTATGTACGATCTCCTGTTGGATCCACTCGCGAACTTTGATATGCGTATCGATGGTCGAGCTGGAGTTCTGTCTCGACAGCTTCGATCTCCGTCCAAAGTTGGAGTTATTGTCGTAGGCCTTGTCGTTCTTTATCACATCGTTCAAATCTGGCTTGCTGTCGCTCTTGTAGCCTATCTGGCCGCAATTCTCGTGCTTTTCGATCTTCGACCTCTTGGCCGAGTCGTCTTTCTTCTCGCTGAATCGTCGCTTCAACGATTTCTCCTTCTCCTTTATGTTCTGCCTCTTGTGGTAGACGTACAAGGACACAACGGTGACGTTTATCAATATGAACACCACGACGAACGTGAACACCATGATCACCAGCGATGAGTTCAACGTGCTCGGCTCCATCGTGGCCACCTCCTCCGCCGCTATACCGCCGCTCGTCGTCGCCACAATTGAAAATAGTGATTTTTCCGTACTAGAGTCCGTCACGCTCGATGGAGTTGTGTATCTGTTAGGAGAACGTGTTCAGCACGATGCGTGCGATCAATAAAAGCGCGAACTACGTTAATAAAACATACCTCCTACAAAATACAACTGTATACTGAGAAAAAAAGTATTAAAAAATCTATTATATATACATATGTAAAGTTTATTTCAAAGAACTGAACTTGATTTCTGTGAAATAAACTATTCCTCTTTCTCTTTCTTCGTCTAATTTCTATGAAACGGAAATATCTCTTTTTTCCCATAATTTCTGTGAAATAAACTTAATATCTCGCGAATAAATGTTTAAGTACTTTTTCCTCGGTGTAACCTGACGTGACCTTTGAACGTGCAAGCAAGTCAGGCAAATTAGCATATAAGCTAAAACCAAAATATCTTCAACGCAGGCCGCACTCGAAGTTTCCGCGAAATAATGTTGCCGACTTGTATTTAGCATAAATCTATATGTATTCCGGAGCATCTCCCGTTGGATCCTCCACCACCGTGTACAGCAATGGCATTGATAACAACGTATCGCACGAGAGTTCCGACTGCACGAGTTACGCGTGAAATTAGTAAGCCGTTCTTATTGTACCGACCTGCCGCCGTAAGTTTCGTGGATCCGACCGGCGGTTCCGTTAGCATATTTGCCGATGCCATCGGCGAAGTCAAGAATCTGCGGTCGCGGTCCTCTCGGTCGAGGCGGGACCGACATCTCTTTATTCGGGTGCCTGAGCAGATTGGGCAGGTCCTCATTCCAGAACTGCATCTCCGCCGAGTGATAGTGCACACCTATGTTGGGCGGTATTGCTGTACGCAAGGGAAGATATTGCTTCCAAGTAAACCGCAGGTCACATCATTTCTAACATATGAGAGCCGATTAATATTAGAAGCCGAGGTTGAGTGGACTACAAATTTCGACCGTCGATAGACCACTGCAATCGTCGTCGATTCGACTTTTCATTTCTGGTTGGGATTATCTCGCCACTTTTCATTTATGTCATCTAGACGACCAAGTTTTATTATATTCCACACGGGGCAAATATTGTGGTAAAAATTACCACCAAATTTCCTAATGCTGGACCATATCGGAATTATAACTGAAGTTATGACGCATTGTAATCTTTAGTGACATATTTCATTGTACACATCATTAAAGATTGCAACACGCAATCGTTTCGTCAGTCATAATTCCGGTATGGCCCAGCATTGCAAAATTTTGCGATCATTTTTACTACAATATTTTTCCCCGTGTAATTTAAGACTTAATCAGTGGTTATCACTTTTCACCCGATCACGCTGCGACATTGATATTATTTTAAACGTCACACCAAAGGAAGAAGAGCGTCAACTGTAAAAGTAACTCGCCACATACGAATTTCTTAATTTTATTGCTTCACGCTGTTGTAACGCCGAGAGATTCTTGCGAACTTACTTAAGTTTAAGTATGTCTGATTGACGTCACTGTACTCTGGCCACTCGATGTCGTATTGACCCCATTCCTTGGACATGCCAGTAAAGTAAGGATATCGCTTGGCGATGTTGGGGCTCCTGGGGGATTCGAGTGTTTTCTTTAGTGGAGTAATCGCGAATGATTAATGTTGCGGTTGAAACGTCCGATACCCTTTGTTAGGCCGTACCGGGCGACCTGAGATTAATGCCATCGGGAAATTGGAATGATATAAAGAAAGAAGATATCGGATGGCTTAGAATTGGGGATTACCGAGCGCCTTTTTTCATGCCGCGATTCGTTTCTCGATCAGGCAACTCCCTTCCACCTCGCCGGTACCGCCACTCCGCGGGAAATTCAGCATTCTCGAATATTTAGGCTTATCGCGGCACTCTGTTCTTCGCGTAATTAAGATCCAGATCTTTGCGAGCTGACTGGGATCTCAGTTCGACGAAACTTCGCGCATTAATCTAATACACCAGACCTTAACATTGTAATCCGACGGACTTTCTCTCTCTCTCTCTCTCTCTCTCCTGTATTAATCAGCCCCGAGAGAAACTTTTGCTAATTTCGAGAGCGCCATTTGTCTTTATTCATCGGTGATTTCAACGTGTGGGGAAAATGATTTTTTAACGACGAGTTGGACGAACGCGACAGATTCGATCGATCTAGCGCGGCGACGGAGTTCACGCAGTGTGCGACGGAAAAAAAAGAGAGAGAGAGAGAGGGAGGAGGGAGAGAGGGGAAAAAGAGGGGAAAAAACGTTCCACTCGTGTTCCATCATTCGTTATCACCGATCGTGCTCCGGTACAGATGCTGCGTGTCGTTCATTCCGGGCAGAGAGACGCGCCCTTACAGTGGATACGGTAACGCACAAAATATCGATCGGTCGCGCGATGCGGCGCTTACAAACGCATGACATTTACCGCTAAATACCTTTGTTTTGCTTAATTGCGCCGACCCAGTTCTCTCTGAGTTCCGTCGTCCCGTAGTGATGCATATGCATGCCCTAGTCAAACCACACGCATCGATCTAGTCTCAAAGGCGATATCTGACCGAAAAATTGCGAGACTGCGTTGCAAAACTAGCGCGAGTCCCGTGCCCGGCAATACCCGTAATGAATTTTTAATACAACCGGGAATCTGAAAAATTCTCTACTATTTTTCGCAGAGGGAAATGTAACGAGCCGAGCGTGGTAAGCAATGTTTTAATGCACTACCAATTCTGGGATGTTTCATGCGGAAGGTATTGAAAATTTAATGACTTAGCGCAATCGAGGTTAAATGTGATTTAATAACTTTTTTTTTCTAACGAATATCGATTTATATAGTTTGTATCGGCCGATAAATATCCTAATGGAAATCGAATCTTTTATGTTTCAAGCGATAACGCACATTCTAATATTAATATTATTATCTGCGTTGTAAATTAATAAGAAATGTAAACATTTTTTAGGGTAGACGGATAAAAGTTCAAAATCTTTCCGATACGTCACGCAGAGTGCCAGTAAATTTCCAATATAATTATAAATTCGATCTCTCCCCTTTGATTTGAACAAAACGCGGTTTTATAGCGCGGGAACGCACTGGGCTCATTCAGCCGTATAAAATGGAATGAATGTTTTGCCGGGTGAAACGAAATGTCGAAATAATTCGGGGCGGGCGGGCGAACGTAATCTGCTTTCATCGCGCAAATTAAAACGGCCGATTCGCCGGATCGTTAATTCGACAATATCGAGCATCAGCATAACAAGCATCAAATTGCGCCGAGTTAATTCAAGACTGAAAGCCGAGCACACGGCCGCGCGCACACGGAAACGCGCACGTAAACAAACTGAGCGGTAAAAAATGTGGCAACTTATTTTAACGAGAATTTATGATGAACTATCCGGCGACGTCCATAAATTCTGCGCTTCTCTGTTTATTTACGGCAAAGAATAAAATTATGTCATAGTCAGCAAATGTGCTCTTTTGCAGTTTTTCTCACATTATTATGTTTAATTATTAAAACGCAGCATCCTAGCGTTTAGAATAACAATGTCTGCCGTTGCCGTCAGTTAAAAGCGGCATAATGTGTCGTTTCTAAATAGCGTTGTGAATTTACCGACGTTTAAATTTACTTGCTCAGATGGATATGGTACCTGTTCTTTACGACTCAAAATCGTAATTTATTTTGAAACAGCAATAATTGATTTTAACGATCGCGTGAAAAGGACAATGGCTAAACGTGTTGGTTTTGGCCCTCGGAGTGGCAATCAAAAATGGTATGTTTTTTGTAGTTTTCGAGCTGTCGAATGATTTTGACCATTAACAAATTTTAATTTATCGTGAAAATGTTACAATCAGCATATGAAATTATTCAATATCTGGTACATTATTAGTGTTAAGCTTTGAATGTAATGTATATAAACATTTTTTTGATATCTTAGTTTTAATTCCACTTACGAATTGATTTATCATTCCACTTCTTTATTTTAAAAAAGAAAAATGTAATTAGAACTGCTCAATTTTTAAGTGATACGCTCATTAAGTTCAATTGAATATGAATATGAGACAAAACAGTTATATTATTACCGGATTTGATTAATAAACGTCTGGACATTTAATTAATTGAAAATCACCACTTCGCGGATACGTGTGTTTCCAGTACGTCACTCCGCCGCAAAATCTAACTTCAGTAACTATGAATTTTCGCGTCAATGCCCAACAATAACTGTTTGCCACTTGTTATTAAATACGATTGTTTCTACGTAGTTGCCGCCACTCATGTGTTCAACTTTTCACATCAACTTTAATTCAACTTTAATACACGCCGCGATCGTTATATTCCAAAGTATATATTTATTCGTATTTTTTTCTTGCCAGACTCGCAATCACCAGTGATTCTGGATGCAAATTTCATTTATATTTTACAATTAACAATTCGCATTGCATTGAATGAAACGGGCGGCAATGTGAAGATGAAAACGCGCTAGCGGGAAATGTATCTTGAAATAAATTTCCTGTTCGCCAAGTTCTATGCAGACCTCGTCAAATCAAGAAAGTTTCTTAATTTACGTTATTATTTGTACTCATAACAGAATTTCAATTTTAGTTACATCAAGATAGAAAGTTAATTTTTCGTGATAATGGAAAAATAGAATCTCCTTTAGTCTTCCCTAGAAATCTCGGAGAACAATTACGGGGAGGTCTCGGTGTTAATTAAGAGCCCTAAACTTAATTCAAATTTTGTCAGGGAGTCTCTTTGATATTTAATTTTTTCATATTGAACTTTTATATTTTAGGTTTAATCCCTCAATTTAAAATCGTCGGGTCAGTGCATTACACGAGAACCGTTGAGCGGCTCCTTTCCAGCAACTCACCCGATATAGGCGAAGCTGCACCACCAGTTCATAATCGCTTCCGAAAATAACGTCTCCCTCATATTATATCGACCCCGCGAGTCGAATCTGCCGCCGTCCAGTGGGACACCCAGTACATAAGGTAGTTCCTCGCCGTACACGGTACGCAGACGTTGTTGCTGCAACATAACGAGATCACTGGATGTGCTTTTATACCGATGCGCGGATTTTATCGACACTTCAGTGCCATTTGCATAACTCGGGAATATCGAAACTCAGGTTGTTACCCCCTTTCAACATCTCATCCCGCACCCTCTCTCGCTCCGGCTTCAACGTCATTATTCTAATATATCCGACTAACTTCATCGTTCACTAGAATTTATTTAACACATTTAGATAGATTCTCTTAATTAATATATATACATTTGCTAGATTTCAATATTTTTTATAATATGCTGTAATATGCAGTTTTGTTATCCATTCATTGCCGAGAGATAAAATGTTTATGTACTTTTAATGAGAGCAAAGCGGATTATTTCGAGTTGTTTTCAGATTCACAGTCCCGGGGATTCTTAATTATGAAACAACCGTAAACTTCTAGTCCGTTTTGAGAATTAATTTACAATTGTAACCTCCTCGTTAGAGAGCCTGAATTTGATTTGGCGTTTAATTGCAAGCCGGCCCCCGTCATCAAATTCGCCAACAATTTTCGAATGAATTTTCCTGAGCGCGAATTCTCAGATTTATCACATTCATAATTATTTTTAACGCGATAAACCGAGCGTATTTACAAATGCGTCAATTTGTAAAGTTCAATAAAGGCTGGAATTTACGGGAGCGGGTTGAAATTAAAATTCATCGGATTCGTTCGCCGCGTATACGCGCGATAGAGAGAAAGAGAGAGAGAGAGAGAGAGAGAGAGAAAACGAGAGAAAGAGCAAGAGGTAGGAAAGTAACACAGAGAGACAGAGAAAGAGAGAGATTCAACTTGACGTGAAAATGATGTGAGAATGATGCACATTGTGAATCGCCATTTGCAAATTTTCAATCTAATATTCTCGTTGACGTGACGACAGTGTCGCGCGCGCGGAGATGTATTCAATTTAGCGTTATTCTCGGTTGCTGCATGACGAGCTTGTTGCCGGCACGCACGCAATGACGATAAAAATAGTTGGCCGAAATCCAAATGGGTTCGCAGCCTGGATTTTTTTCTCGGCAACTGTGTGAAAACAATGGCCGCTACTGGGCCACAATTCGTCCTTTCCGACCTAAGATACTGAGGGTTGCAGATGGAAAATATGCCAACAATGCCGGGCCAACCAAAAACCGTGCTCTCTGTTCCCTCGCGTGGTAGATTTATTGGCTGATTTGGAGGCTCGATTTCCCATTAGGAGGTAGTTTGAATTCGAAGCTGTATATTTCGAGTTTCAGCATTAAAGATTTCAGCGGCTGGCGAATGAAAACGAGCGGATTTTCTATCCCGAGATGAAGCGCGGGCTATTAAAAACACGTTCGGAAGCAACATTACGCGTCGAAGGATAACAACAACAACGTTGCATGAAGATACACAAACCGGAGCGTCGAAGGAAGCGCGCTTTAACCCATCACCCCCTCCCCCCCCCCCCCCNNCCCCCCGCTCTTTCTCCTCTTCCTTCTTCTTCTTCTTCTTTCCTTCTTCTTTATATCCCTTCCCCGCCCATTGACGCGCTGTGCAACATTTTTCTCGTGCCATGTCGGGTTCCGCTTTGTCGAGAAGCGTCTGAGTCGCGTGATAATCGATCTTCGTTGTATCGGAGACCTACTTACGCCAGAATAGTCTTGCATAGCTTTCGGATGCGAGAAGACGTACATGTAGCTCTTCGGGTTCGCCCTTGAATGCAAATTGGCAGTCATTATTAACGGCGCCACGGTGCCGCTGTCGGATAACGCTTCCAGCACCATGTCCCGATTCTTCGTGGCGTACTCGCTCGTGAATCCACTCGAAAAATCGCCGTACTGCTCCAGCACTTTCGACAGTATCAGGTCCGGCTCCAATTCGTGCGTCGCCTGAGGACACGTTCCCCGATAGAGAAATGTCGTCGCGCGTATGTGGGATTTCAGATTCGAAAGATACGAAAATGCGCCGAGTCCCGGCGATACAAGCTTTTAATTATCCGCGTGCCTTCGTTACTATAGTATTCGTTATCACAGGAATTGGACACGAAGAGTTACAGATGAGGTGTTAGAGCAATTCCCAAAGACCCGGGACTGGATCCGGAGGGTGAGGGGAAAAGTCGAGAGCAAGAACGCAGAAATCCGGATTCTGAGGGTCCAACAACAAAGAGAATTCCAAATTCTGGGAGAGGAGAAAAGCGCAATCCGCAAGATAAGTAAATTTACTTTGGCATGGTCTCGCAAAATCTCGTCCCTTTGTCCATCAAGCATACCGTGCAACAAAGCAACCGGTGGCAGGATGTGAAATTTCTCGGATTCTGTCACACCGTACATCAACTCGAACCTTAAAAGAAAAGGAAACAACGGCTGACGTGTATGAACAATTACGCTTGCGCTTTTTAAGTCTAATATGAGGACACCCCGGTATGTCCCGTACTCCTTTTTATATATTAGGTGTTTGCAAAAGTTCGCCTGATATTAAAGCCATTTTTATTTATTAATAACAATGAGATGACGTGTGATAGTTTAATTAAAAAACTGGCCCTTGCTATCAGCAATTTTTCGGGCAACAGTTTGATAACGCCGATGAAACGGCTCATCTCTGAGGTAATCCATTCACCGATCTATTTTCGCACCCCCTCAGCATTTCGAAACCGTGGATTAGATAGGCCGTGCTGCATCGATCTGAATAGATAACAATCAGGTGGAACGATATCTGAAGAGTACGCTGGGTGTGGCAGGACTTCCCAACCTAACTCGAACGACGTCTCTTTAGTCGCAACAGCAACATGCGATCTGGCGTTGTCGTGAAACAGGGTAACTTTACGTCGGTCCGGCGTTATTTGAGGACGTTATTCCTTCATGGCTTGATTCAAACGCCATGATTGTTAACTATAGCAATCTCCTGTAATTGTCTGCCCCGGCAATAATAGCTCATAGTAAAGCGTTCCACGGTCCCACCACATACATACGCAAGGGAACCTGATGGCCGTGGATATTGCGTTTTGTTATGGATGCCGATAGTTAGCCGGGATCAAGCCGTGACTTTTACGTTTAGGATCGTCAGAATAGATTCACTTTTCATCATCCGTAACTACTCGCCACAGAAAACTCTTTTGTGCTTGGCAAACAATGAGAAACGGACGGTAAGCCGGTTCGCAATCGCGTTTGCAGGGAGTTTATGGGGAAACCATCTTCTTGCCTTCTAGATCTTTCTCATTATTTTTCAAGCGGCGGGATACCGTTGATTCGCCAACTCCAAGCTGCCCCTCAAGGGCATCTCTTTTGATTATGATTTGTCAACCATCAATACCGATCCAATACCGGCCAACACTTAAATACTGAACTGAAAAGCAACTTAAAGGAAAACAATTACAGAGTCGTAGCTGCAGCCATCTATTCGTGACCTTACGAACTTTTGCAGACACCTGATATGTCCCGACGCGAGTTCTCCCGTGTGCGAATCGCTTTCGCGCAATTTATTGTTACACGCCCCCTCAACAAACTCCGCTCGAGATTACAAAGTCTGTACGCAGTGGGAACGATCGGGCCGAACAGCATTGTTTCCGGAGGAAACTCTCCGCGGATCGTACCTGCCAAAGAGTTGGACGTTCTCCATTAAATTGAACGGCTTGTCAGGGATAACAGCGCGGTCGATTAGCGGCGCGTAAGCCGGCACGTATTTCGGCTTGTGGATTTTCACGCGCAGCAGCGTGTCTACGTCCTGGTTGCGCAAGCATCCAGCCAGCTCGCTGTCGCTGGTGGTGGGACAGTTGAGAGCGTGCGCCACCTGAAAAACGATCCTCGCCATTGCTCACGAGCGCAATGAACGCGCGGCCTCCTCCTCCACCCCTCATTCCACCGCGCGGCATCGATGTAACTGTGTAACGTTTCTTCGCCGTGACGAGCAACGATATTTCTTTCCGTCGAATTCAAATTGCAAGCAGGACAGAAACACGACGCCGCCGTTTGTGAAACATACGTCGCCGCATAGGAAATAAAAACTGATAAACGCCTAGCTTCGTTATAACGGGATTCGCGGAATTCGCGATAAATGCGGGTGTGTCTGGGGATTCCGAAGGACGGGAATTTGAAAACCCGAAAATCGAGGCTTTTTCAAGCTGGAAATATGATGGAGCTAAAAATTCAAAATTCATATAGGGAAATACAAGGGAGACGAGAAATTAAAGAATTAAAAAATCCCAAAATTCACGACTTTGGGGACTCGGAATTTCGAAATTTTCAAAGTGCACGGAGTCAGAGATTTTATAATTTATAATTTTATAATCCATAAGTATATGAATCTTTTCGTATTCCTTATGATTGGGCTGACTTCGGTACTCGAAACATCTGTATATCCAAATTGGGGAGACCAAGGGGTCGGTAAAATCAGATATCCGAAGTTCCGAGACACCGAGTATACAGTGACTTGGGAATTAAAAAATTCGGGGGAAACCTAGGTACATAAAGAATCCCTTTGAATCGAAAAGGGAGGATCAACTGCGGGAATAATAGTAATAGATGCCGCAGTGATTTGTCATTCCGCGAAACTGGAATTCAAACGCATCAATCCTCATCCCGCGTTTTTATTCGCGACTATTATCATTGCGGCGTTCTTTTTTACCTGTTTGGTGATCTGCAAGGGCGCCTTACCGATGGCATCTGCGCTCATCGCCGATCCGGACATCAGGATAGCTCGTTTGAACAAACCTGCGCCAACAAAATGGGAGGAGGTGCGACAGGTGATTAATAACTTAGCTTTTCGATACGGTCCAGCAGTTCTCAAACTTCTTCTCGGCGCTGGGCCGAAGGACAAATGTATTCTGGCTTGAGTCAAAAATAATCCCTCGCGTTAATAATTGAAATCCCACATTCGGGATGAGAAATTTGAGGAACCCTCGAACAACGCGAGTTGAGATTTAAGGAATCCGTTGTCGTTTTTGGAGGTGCTCGGTGACGTACGATTCGTCACGGGGAAGGACGTTTCCCTTGATAAGAAAAATATTGTATTTATCATTTTCTAATCCCGTTCCCCGGTACACGGACGAGCGGGGCGTAAATGTTGGCTTAATTATAAAGGGTCACCGATGCTTGAGAACCTCCGCATGGCATGGGCAGGCACCTGTCCCGACGTGTAAAATATTAAGTCCGGTTATTTTTCATTGCACAATATAATTATTGGCCGGACGCGGCGGCATTGTGCGCTCGGCCGGAAGAGAAAAGCTCCTTTTCCCGGCCGCCATTGCGAGCCGGCCGGGTGAAAAATGGTCGACGTCTTCTTTCTTGCTTTCGCCCGTTCTCACTGACCCCGCCGAGCGCCAGCGGGTACCCGAGAGTGCTTGAGTGCTCACGGTCGGTGTGTGCACACCGTTGAACACGTGTAGACGAGTGATTCTTAACCCCTTGTCAAACTCAAAAATATCACAATGCAAGTGCCCGCGATTTGCAAGAGAAAACTTCAAGACAATAATGGATGGCTAGATATACAGGGCCATTTTCCAGCGATGTGACAACCGAATGATTATCAAAACGTAACTATATTCGGTATAGAGAATTATCGCTTTTTATAGTTTTTTTTTTTTTATGAAGGAACTTTTATACTTATTTTTAGCAATCCGATAATTATTATCTGACAATTATCTGATTATTATCGGACAACGCTGAGCAACATGAAGTTTATCTTGACACTTCGAGGTTCCCAAATTTGTCCATAAGAGACCTAAAGCGGAGTATCAAGCTCGCATATTTTTGAAATTTTCTTCGTCATATTAAATCCGCCAATTTGATTTTCTAGAATTTGAGTTTAGATTCGTGTTTAGCGACTCCAAAAATATGTGTCATATTTTGTGGAAATTTATCTTTTAGAACTAAATGTGCCCTTGGACGACTTCATAGGTCAGCTTAAGTGAGATCAGGCATAATTTTAAAACTGCCTTTATTTGCCTCTATTTTTATTAATTGACACTTTCTTCGCAAATTGAAACAAGATGTGTAAGCGCAGGATTTTGAAAGTTGATGGAGAAATATTGACCGTCTACTTCGCAAGCTGATTCCGGGAGTTCTTTGACGACCAATGAATCACAGGTTCAAGAGCAAACCGTACATTGTCACCGCCGTGCAACATTGGTGCATTGCGTTTGATGCAAATGCGCGTATGCCTATCTCTCTTGCCCTGATTCGTCCAATTAATCCCGCGATTATCTCCCGTCGCCTCGGAAATCGCGATCTCTGTACGAGATCGCTGTTCACCCCCTATAACTGCGGATAATGTTTCCAATTACAGCGAGGGAAAGGATTAGCTTCGATTATGTATCGTCTTTCGATTCTTGCGGGACGGGTATGAAAATCGTTACCAGTAGACGTTCGTGTTACGAGGGGATCTTGTTTTCTCCAAAACGATTGGCAAAAATGAGCGAAAGCCGATTACCGATAGCACAGAGAATGGGAAATGAATCGTACAAAATACAGGCTGGGTTCGGTTAGGTGAGATTGGATTGGGGTTAGACTGTACATACGTGGACGTTCTTTACCTTTTTTGTTGGTAACCGGGCTGATTAGGAGTAGATTAGCGAAGATAGCTCCAGTTCCGTGACCGACTAAAGTGACGCTGTTAGGATCGCCTCCGAACTCGGCGATGTTTTCTCTTAGCCAAAGCAGAGCCGCTATTTGATCCAACAGTCCGAAGTTGCTCGCTGCGTCGTCCCTGATCCCGGGTCTCAGGAAACCTGCGATAAGAGTTTTAATTATTAAATGAACACAGTATCTGAAGCAATTACGTATTTCCGACGCTAAACTCCGGACACAAATATATTCCAACATATTTCACAAGTAACTTGCCAAAAATGTTGGAACACATTTGTCCGTATGATGTGAATAAAATGAATGTTACATTTTCACTCATGAAGAACGCATTTCTTATCGTGTTACATAGATTGCCTCGACTTTGCCTCGGTTTTGCGAAAAAATTGAAAAATCCAGCATTCCGAAGACACGTGAGCAAGAAGTTAATTCCAATTCGTAGGCGAGAATCCCACGGCAGTTGCTCGAGCAGCCGGAAGTACGGCTGGCTCCTTACGTAGCTCCTTTCTTAGCAGAGAGGGGCTCCCGAATAACCGGGGTTTCGCTGCTTTCCACGTTCTCCCGGGACCCGCGTATTCGGTGTCCCTATTAATTAGCTCCATGGAGATGCGAAATTTCTCCTCCCCCCCTCCCCCCCCCGCCGCGCTTAAANCCCCCCCCCCCCCCGCCGCGCTTAAACACGAAGTACTTTCGTGCGCTGTAACGCGATCGCCGGTGTTCTTTTTGCTCGGCAGCCGGGCTTCGCGCGCTCGGGACTATATTTTCGCCCTGTTTTGCGCAGGGCAGACATGATGGCGGCGGTGGTGGCAGGGCGGGCTGGAGTTATCCGCGGACTCCTCACTCGGGCTAACTCCGACCGCCTAGAGCGGGTCGGGGTTACTAAGCGCTTCCCCAGCACTTTAACCTAATTTATGATTATGGTTTCGCGTCCGCCTCTTTTTTTCTCCCGCGAACCACTCCACTTATCAGATATACCGAGTGTACCCCGCACACTCGCTCGCGCGCCCACGTGGTCGTCCATTTGCATCGCGCGTCGCTGTCATCTCGCGAGAAAGGATTGCCGGAATTTCGCTGTTAGCCTCTTTAGGACAACCGCTGTACATGGCAATTTCGGATTGCAGCTGCGAATCGCGACACGCTTCCGGACGGCAGTTTTTAGCAGACTTTCTGAATAATGACGCCGCCCCCTCCCCCCCACATACGCGTGACCACTCCGCAATGAAATATGCCTTATTACCGCGTCAGTCGCATTTTTATCGGACGATGAGAAAAGTGCCCGCCCGGACGGCATTCGCGGCAATTTATCCTTTTTGTTATTTATTTATTTTTTTTTTCATAGGCGAACAACGCGCCGGCTCATTGTTGCTAAATCATCCGTATGAATTTTTTTCACGCGGAATGCCGCGCGCCAGCAGCGCGAGAGTGTCCCCATCGGCTATCAAAATACAAAGTTCAGCTACGTTTCGACGGCTACGTAACGAAGAAGGAATTTTCCCCTAAATTCTCGAACGAACGCACGGCTAAGCCGCACAATTGAATATCCTACATTCGAGTGATCCGAGAGAGAGAGAGAGAGAGGGAGAGCATTGAACTGCGAATTGGGTCAACTGGTTATCTTCTTCTTGAACTTCACCGCGCGAGAGTGCGTTCTTCCCGGCGCAAAATAATTTGCGCTCGAAGCTGAGACAGCAGAGGGCGTCGCTTACACTTCCGCGGTGGCGTACTAAGTCGACCGCCTTGTATCGTTCGGCTTCGGCGAACTTTCTTCGAAGGCGAAGTTCAATATTGAAAAGCGCTCGGGGCGATAAAAATTTAGATAAGAAGTTTGCGAGCCGCAGCCAGGCCAGCCTTGGAAAACGACGAGCCGTAACGAAGTTATTTATACGGGGGGAACAGTAAAATCGTATTAGACGTTAATACTTTTCTGCATGATGGATCGATCAATAACACCCTCCCTCGTCGTCCGGCCTGAAAATGCGGGCTTAGAGGAATGATAAGATAGAACGATGCAAGTCGATCCCCCTCGTCTGCGCGACGATCTTCGTATTTCTTAGGGTCCCTCAAAAGTCTCCCGAAAGTCAAGAATATGGCGACAATAAACGTCCAAGTGTTATATTCTCCCGCAGATATATTAATATCGATAATGCTGGAGGAGGAATTGGTATTGCGACATTTTCTCCTCTAATATTTAACAACACTAGAAAATCAGTGCTTCGGCTCTTGAGGTCCGATACTGTTCCTCTCTTTAACTAAATCAAGTAAGAATCGTTTCAAATAAAATATTTCAAGTATCTCTTACCCAGAATGCCAAGTCGAAAATTAATTGTAACAAAGACAACGTTGCCGTAAGCCGCCAATATGGTGCCGTCATAGGGATTACCGCTGTTCCATTCGTAACTCTCACCGTGGATGAAGACCATGACTGGGTATTTCCTTAGATTTCTCTGACCTAGAAACGCAAATGAAACATTTCACAGTTGACGTAAATACAATCGTGTCGTTGATGTCGTACAAAAGAAGATTTATGCTTCTCTGTCCTTTAATGTAACGTTCGATCATCCAGCTTCATAATCATTCTCAACTTATCTACAAAAACTCTATCATATCGATTGTAAAATGAGAGTAAAGGATAAAACTGCTACTTGAGCATGACTCATTGGCATATATCATCCTCTGCGCAGCGCGATAGTAATTTTTTAATTGCGTTTAAAGGGTTTTTTTCGGGGAGGACAGCCTTCGAGGACATTTGATTTACATCGGCGGAAAAATTGTCGGCGGAGTTTGTTCCCGAGAATGTTCGGGAGCACGGGGTTAGCCGCCAAATTTATATCACCCCTCTTGCAAACTATTCACACAGTTAGTTTTCGATATTAGAGTAACTATAAATTCTTCCCCACCCTGCCCTTCAAACGACGTAATTTCCTTTTAGCATGCGATCTGCGAATTAGATCGAGGCGAGAGCTCGGGGGAGACTTATCGAAAAATCCGTTCCGCTGAACTTTCTGCTGACAGCTGAATATCGTGCGCGTCACCGATCGCGAATAAATCATTTCACTTTCAAAAATACGATCGCCAATGGTATAATCGCGTCTCGTCGCGACCAGTATAATTAGATAAATAGATAGATGAAAGCGTTTATCGATCATTCGTGGGCGAACCCTCTAAGAACGCTACATGTTTGTGAATTGATTTATGACAGATTTATAAAGTAAAATTGACTATTAATAATACTGGAGGGAAAAGGGAAAAAAGAAACGCATAATATATGATAAAAAATAAGTTTGATAGTAGTATAATAGAAAGAAAATGCGCAAGAAATACATTGTATAATATTTGTGGAATAGTCACGCGGTTTATTATTGCATGTATTATGTGGATAATCCTTTTAAATAATTAAAGAACTTGGATTTAAATTGTCGGACCGAGTCAGAATTTCTGATTTCAAGACAAGAAATCTGTTCGAATCAACTAAATGGGTTTCTCAATATACACACAAGGGAGAAGTAAAATAATTGCCTACGTGAAAATAAAGAATACTTTATAGGTTCCTGTTTAAAATTCACCTTTACAAATCGCATGACGATTGCAGAGGGCCTTTCAGATTCCAAATCTTGAAAATTCCAATAAGATGTAGATTCGAGGACGCAAAAAGTCGAAGTTTCCACATGCGAGTATTATGCGTATTGCACGGGGAACGACAGAAGGAATGGAATCGCGCAGATTTCATCTTCCCGCGACTTCTACAGGCGTTGATCTAAAAACTCATTTGGCCGCGAAGCTTATTCCGAGATTTAATTAACGGTTTCAATTATCACCGACGGCCGTTTGCTGAACTAACGTATCTCCTATTTCTTCCGAAACGTCCCATAGAACGGCTGTGCTCGATACATTTCGATAAATCAAGACACTCGATCGTGACGCTCCCCGTTGGATTTTCTCACTTCCCCCCAGCGGCCGATAACTCCTTTCACATTTTCCGCGACAGAATATCGACCGGTTAATACCGCTTTCTGAATTTTTACCCGGTTAATTTATCGGTCATTATCCAGCGTACGCAAAGATAAAGAGAATTCGATGAAAATGGAAGAACGTAAAATTTCCGTTGCGGCAAATTACTCATTACGATACGAGTCTCTGATATCGGAGTCCATGATATTTGCAGAACACGAACGACACGGACAAATATTCTATCTCACTCCTCCCCCACGAGGAACATCGCGATGGTTTGCTACACAATCGCGTCGATGCTCGCGTTGTCCGTCCGTTGGGTCCTATATATCATTGCGATCTCGAGCCGGAACAAGCGCCGGGAGAACAAGAGAAAGCGACAGGGACACGCGATCGCCGCGAAATTTACATGAAAATTGAAAGGCGAATCGATCGATGCGTTCTGCATAAAATTGATGTATCGCGAATCATGCGCGGGGATATTTTCATCCTGCGTCACGTGAGCGCGTTGCTTGGGCGCGAGCGAGCGCGCACGCCAGCAACGGAACCGCCGCCGTCATAAATCACCTCGCGTGAATCTATATCCTAATAAAAGGAAAACCATTCCTCCGCCCGAGCGATGGCGTATTTTGCGCTATAAAAAAGGCACGCTCGTAACTCGCGCGGAACGTCTGAGTTCGCCGATGCGAAATGCATTTTCATTTATCTGAGAAAAAAATGAACACTATGTTACCGTGAGAACTTGTTAAAAAACTTGAAACTCGCCGTGCGGGGTACAGGTGTGTTTACGAGAGAAGGCACATATCAATTACCGCAGACGTAACAGAAACAAGGTAATTCTGTTGTATGAAAAATTCCAAGCGGAATTTTTAAATTGCTCTTCTCTCTTATATTGCAGCTTTTCAGAAATGTGTATGAAACGTTTGTTCCATTCTCTCAACCGTGAAGCTTAACTTACAAAATTACATTTATCGACAGATTTTATTCTGTTCGAAAAAAAAGGCGCGTTATCTCATTGTGGCCGCTGGCTATCGTATTTAAATTCACACACGGTTTAAAATGATGTCATTTATAAATCTCGCAAATATATTATTGATAGATATTCCTTTACACTTTTATTTACAGAAGTATCAATCTTGCCACTGTTACAATATCATATAATTACGAGACGAAGAAAAGAACTGATCTAGTCAAGGAAACTGTGCGTCACGTTTATAGCGTGATAGCGTTTCTTCGATTTGCAGAATCGGCTCGACCCGCATCGACTCGGGTAGCGTTCCAATAATCGCTGCCAGTACTGAAATTAATAATACAAAAATAATAATATAAAAATTCCAATATTGAATTCAGCAGTGACTGTCAATGTGATTTATACATGATGCGAGTAAACCCAGAATAAAATGACGTCTTACACGTCACTCTCTTATTATATCAATTTAGATCCCCTCCATATAGTCAACAATCTAATTAGTACATAGAAGTCTGTGGGCGCGAGAGATTATGGCTTCCCGGAAATGCGTTTGCGAGATGCGGCTATTGTTCTCCGCTCAGGTGCGCGCTGCGTCGCACATGACTTACTCCACTATAATAGCGCTGGACTGATCGAGAGCGCAGGTCGATATGGATGTCGATATCTTCCCTTCCACATTATATACAGAAAAGAAATAGTCTTAAATCAATGGTGAATATTTTCATATATAAGAAAAAATATTATAATATTCTTAGAAAATTTTTTAATTTAATTAAGTACCAGTAATACTTGAATCAGTACAAATTCAATTAAATCAAGACTAAAAATCTTTTAAAAAGATTATAATATTCTTGCTTATATATAGAGAATATTTATCATTGATTTATATAAGGCTAATTTGTTTTTCATATAGCGACGTGAAATAAAAAACCGTTGAAAAGAGGAAATTTTCATGTTTCCGATGAACGCGAATCGTTCTTCTGTATGAAGTAAAGACGAATTAGCGCGATTGTATAAATGCGAGATATTGATTTTTGCTTTCGCGTTAAAGTAGAAATTAATCTGTATTGAAAACCGACGGGAAACATCGCTTCGAATTTTTAACACGAAGTATCTATTTTGTACTTTTATTGGATATAAAATTCGTTTTGAAAGAAGTGGAAAATAATAAGAACCTTATGATAACCTCTGATATTTTGTGATAATCTCTAATTAACTATGATTAAGTGGAAGTATAATGTTGAAGTCAGAGTTCAAAGTTGAAATCAAAATTTAGGATTCTTGTGAAATAAGAATCTTGTTTATTTACACAACTCGCAAATGTATCCCCGAATTGTGGTAAATTATACAGTACAAAAAACGCGATTTTAGCCTATATTTGAGGTCATGCAGCATGGAGAAAACTTTCTTTTTCAAAAAACTGTTCAAAGCATCTCAAAGTATAGGTCTCAATCTTTCAAATGCCGTTGAATTTGCTCAAATATCTGTTTTTGTCAGCGATATATGCTATTTTAAAAATTTCAAATTGCATGAATTTAAATTCATTTTCAATTTCTGAGGCCAGATTTGAATTCAGCGTGTTAAAAACCTTCGGGATAGTATACTCCGGTTTCTGGTAAAATGTTTTTGCCAAATTTTGTCGGCCTGTGTTATCGTACACAGTAAGAAAATTATATCCTACTTCTTGTGTAAAAGATGGAGTCTTGAAATTTTATGATTTTTCATCAATCATTTCTTTTGTCAAATGATCAATGAAAAGTCATAAAATTTCGAAGTGCCAACTTTTACACAAAACTTAGGGTATTAAACTAAAAAATAACAACGGTTAGAAATGACCACTCGGTACTTGTAGTGTTAAATGCCCTTTAAATGATTGCGGTCGCCAGTGCATTATAGTGAAGTGAAGTGAGTGAAGAATGATCGATATAGGACAATGACTGGACGCTACGCTACGTGGAGGCTAGATCCCTTGAAAGCTGGACGTTGTACCTGGACTGCTGAACGTCGCGGCGGGATATCAGCGCACACAATGGTGTACAATCTCATCGCTCACAGAGCGTCTTATTACGTAGTGCACGATTCAGCGTAGTGCTGTGATGAGAAAATATGAGAGAGATGAGAAAAGTCACCGCACAAAAGATGACATATGAAATTACTTCAAACAGATTTAGGAATAAAATGGCGCACGTTTATAATATACAGGGTGTCTGTCGCTAAGTATCCCATTCATCATATATTTGTAATTTAAGTCAATGTGAACGAAAGTCCTCTATCATTTTAGAAATATCCACGTAAAATTTTGAGTTATTAATTATTAAAAATAGCCATGTATTGTAGCTCCTTTAATCAACCTTTAATAAATTCAAAAATTTATGTTATTTGCAAAATGATAAAAGACATTTTTTTAGAATGACCTAATTTACAAGTACGTGACAGCTGTTCTACTTAACGACAGACATCGGTATTTTAAATATGAAACTGTTGAATCTGTCGCTAAATACAATAGTCACCGTATATTTGTATAAATTCGG